CCCCCCCCACCCCACCCCAGAAGTGTGCATGCTGTGCTGGGGGTGGGGTCACCCTGACGACCGGGAAGCCGCACCTGCCCGAGACTGGCTGGGACTAGGTGGGACGAGACGAGGGGGCTCGGTGCGGGGCGCGGGCTGCGGGCGGGGGACGGGGGGGCGGGGGGCTGCCTGCCCAACGCGCATGAGGTCCAACGCGTCGGCAGTCCCCCGGGGGCGCGGTGCAGGACCAGTGCACCGGACACACATTGACTGGCATGCCGAATTCCTCGCATCCATTTTACGGGCACACACTTGTGGGGATGGGCCAGGAAAAAGGTGCCACTGGCCGGGGGCCAGAGGGTGCCACACATGGGGCCTCTGCGGAGGACCATCAACACGGGCAGGCCACCACGTGAAGAAAACAACAAGCGATTGCCGCATGGCGCTACCGCGAGTGCCGCCGATCATTCTGCCGTCGGACGTGTTTGCCGGCCACCGAGTCCCTACGAACGTGTCGCTCTTGGATGGGCACTTGGGCGTCTGTTGCGCACTCTCAAGTGCCACCGCGGCGGTCGGTGACGCCGGTGGCCAGCCCACAGGACCAACCACACCCCTCCTTCCCTTTTCCGCCCCGCCACACGGTGTCCTAGCCTCTCCTTCCCTCTCTCCCTCTCTCCCTCTCTCCCTCTCTCCCTCTCTCCCTCGGCAAGGGAGGAGTGCGAAAAGAAGCGCACGGTCACAAAGACGTCCATATGCTGGGCGAGGATGGCTGGCTGAAGGAGGATAAACTGATTGACACAGGAGATGGCCACACCGCGGATCTTGGCAACCGGATGCGAGGAGAACATCACAAAGGCCGGGATCAGGGTCTCCAGCGACTGGTCCGTCAGATCGGCCGCCGAGTCCTCGCAGATCATCAGGAGGGTGGCAAAGACGCCCTGCATTCGGGGGAACAGTAGACCGGCAAGGGCGTCAGAAGCTCCATCAGCAGGGGGTTGCCCCGGGATCGGGCCGAGAAAAAGGCCCGAGCCAAATGCCGCAGTTGCATACCTCCAAAATGAGCATATCCTGTGTCTGGAGCATGTTCACCAGGTACGGCAGAAGTTCCGGCCAATCGTGGATTGAGCCGATCGACAGGAGCGTCGAGATGATGGTGGCCACGGTCGACCGAACCAGGGGCTCCTTGTCGCCCACCAGACGAAGGCACTGCAGCTTGATGTACACCTTGGCCGTAGGGTGGAAGGTGTTGTACTTACTGCGGATGAGGTTCTTCAGCAGCAGACCAGCGATGGCTCGCAGGCCGGGATCCTCCACCGACGGATCGGTGAACAGGTACATCAGTGTCATGGAGTAATCTGGGAACCGGGTCAGCCCATCCAGAGTCTGTAATGGGAGGGCCGAGGTGCGGGGAGGCCGGGAATGGGAACCGGCGGCGGGGCAGGCGGTCACAAGTTAGCACGGCCATGTTCGAGTGTGCGATGCAGCCTTGAGCTTTGTGCAGCGGGGGGGGATGGTGGGATCGGGGGGG